AAGGAGGGTGGTATGCCCGCTTTAGTTTCTCCTTCACAGATATCTCTATGTTAAGGCATAAGGGAATGAGAGGAAGGGGGCGATGAGAGAGAAAGGGGGCGATGAGAGAGAAAGGGGGCGATGAGAGAGAAAGGGGGCGATGGGAGAGAAAGGGGCCACGAGAGAGAAAGGGGGCGATGGGAGAGAAAAGAAGACGATGGGGCGAGGGCAAGAAGGACAAAAAGGTTTAATTTTGCCTTCACCCACAACTAGTTCTTGTTTTGCTTCAAGCAAAGTTATAAAATGTCACACCGGTCTAATTCAGTGTGATGTTAGCTCTCCCTTGAAAATGTCACACAGGATATAATACAAGATGAATGAGTACCTCTGGTAATCTCATGATGAAGTAGTGAGCATTAGCAGAATAAGCAGCGTCCTCGATATCCTGGTACGGTACATCTCGTGTGTTGTCTCCGTACACGATGTTCTTCCCTATCGTGTGGTGTGGTAGATAAGTACTGGGAGAAACCACAGCCATTTGCTTTCGAAGCCAGCGAAGATCAAGTGACCTTAGATCTCGTCCGTCTAGAAACTGAAAAAATCCCAAGAGAATACCCCTCAAGACTGGTTGTAATAGACCCCTTGCATGTGACATCAAAGGAGCTCAATTTGAAGGAAAAAAACAAAAGAATTTCAATCGCCTGAGAATTGGAAACCTATTGTTTTGCCCTTCAAATTGTGTTGCATTCCATGCTGCAAGGTGTCTATATCAAATTCAAATATATTCTTCTATTGTCAGGCACAAAGGGTCCAGTACGAGGCTACRTGCTAAATTAAATTTCTTCTCTCCTTTCACGATATACTGATCATTATAGCCTCACATTAAAACCTTTGTGCGTGACGCTCGGTAGGCTCTAGTCCAATAGACCCCTTGCATGTGACGTCAAAGCAGCTCAATTTGAAGGACAAAACAAAAGAATTTCAATCTCATGAGTATTGGAAACCTATTGTTTTGCCCTCCAAATTGAGCTGCATTCCGACGTGCTCCAAGGGGTCTACTATTTTACTGCAAGTAGTCTAGAGTCCTAGTTTGGGCATAATTTCCCCCCATTTGAGACCATTGGTCATTCTTTCAAGAATAAGATTATTCGTATGAGTTGTATCCATATTCAAAAAAAAAACCCAAAGAAATACATATGTTATATGTAGTRAATACTGAATATATAGACTTACCACTCTCCCACACGACGGGTCGTAGTATCTTTCTAGCAGTATTTCAAGGGGATTTCTTGTTTCATTGTCCATCAGGACCATCGCTAATGTCTGACCTTGGTTCACAGAAAGGTCAAGGTCATTCAGAAGCAGGTTCCCCTTTCGCAAGGGATCGGGAAGTTCTGCGTGGCGAAACTCGATCTCTCCTGACGCTTTGCCCTGAGAGCCAAAACAAGCCAGGATTAATGTTAGGCAGAACAAGACATCGCAGGGCAGGGCAGGGCAGGGCAGGGCAGGGCAGGGCAGGGCAGGGCGAATATTTAAGAAAGGCAACGCAAGGTAGTAAATGGTATTCTAATGAAAGCTTGTTTAACCTTAGCTAGGTCAAAGCCACGCCAGGTTAGACACAAGCAGCCAGGGCAAGGTAGATCAAACCAGAGCACCGCGGACAACACACTCACCATATCCATATCTTTATCACTCATGACTTGGATTTGCTCGTCTGTTTTTGATCCCGTGTCAAACACACGATTGGCTGATTCCTTGGAGCTGCTAGACGCATGCGCAGGAGCCTGGCTACTTGAGTTTGCAAACGAGCCAAACAACACGGACATCAATACGCTAAAACGAGAAGCTAGATGGTTAACTATTGATAAGCTTTGGTTATATTATTTACTCTTCGATGCTGGACTCAGTATCACATGTGAGTAGAGCTTGTTCAGTCTCACCCTTGATTTAAGAGGTTTCTCCAAGATTCACGCTAAATTCAAATACGATCTGTGAGTTAGCCGTGTCCTGACTTTGATCAGCCCAGAAGGTGTTTCAGGGTACCATATAATTCAAGCTTTTCTATATCTTGGGGATAAAGTAGAAAAACCTTTAAAARTTATATACACCGAATCGAAAAATGGTGACCAATATGAATAACTGTTGTTCTGGACTGACAAGCCTCGTGTTCACGTGGAAAAAGAAAAGAGTTTTTTGAGAGGCTAGTCAGTCCAGAACAACAGTTATTCATATTGGTCACCATATTTTGATTCGGTGTATAGAAGAATTCTAAGAGAAAATTGATTGCGATTAYTAAAAAGAGACTCACCATAGAACCTCAACTGCTGCCATTTCTCGTTCAGAGATCAAGAAGCATCCATAGCGAAGAGCAATAGCATAAATAACAAACACCATGGCTTGTCCGACAGCAAATGCTAAACCACTGCTAACGATCTTCTTGATAGCGTGCCTGAATAAACAGAGATGATTAAAGGCGCGATTAAGGCCGGTTTAGACGGCACGATTTTCGCCTACAACTATCGTATACAACGCGCTCGCGCCATCCTACAGCTCGAGTCGTAGCGTGTAAATCAAGCCTACAAACTCGCCTACGACAGACGCGAGCGTGTTGTATACGATAGTTGTAGRYRAAAATCGTACCGTCTAAACCGGGCTTTACACTGAGCAATTTTCTTTGCAACTTGTCTGTAAACGGCGTTGCGACACAAGTTGCATGGATTATTGCAGCGTGTAACCAACAGCGCAATTTGAAAAAATGTTGCGAGACAAGTTGCGGCAATTGTTACAAAAAGTAGAATTCCTTTATACTTGTGGCAATGATTGYATCTCTGTTGCACCGTGTAAACACCCTTGCAGCTTGTGTCGCAACGCTGCGTCTGAAGAAAAAGCGGGAAGATTGGTTTTCGCGCGCAAACATCGTCATCGTCGCACCAAGAGACCATGAACGACCTTTTTGAGAATAGGCAATGTGCATTAAAGCGTACAAAGCACTCTGGGAAACCGAGTACTGCAAAAATGGAAAAGGAAATCAAAGGAACTATCACAAAAAACAATACTCTATTATTTTTGTTTGTTTTAATATTTCCATTTCCATTTCCATAGAAAATGTCGAAGGAAAAATTATCAGATAGATCTTCAGAGGAGCGAAAAAGGCGTTACTATTCGGTTTCCCGTCATGCTTTGAGCTAGAGTGTACATTTTCATCGCTTGGACCTATCATAACGCGTCAGATCACCGCTCGTCAAATCGAAATGCTCGGACATGGCACCATCACGGTCAAGGCACTTCGGGTCGTACCTTGAGCTTTTTCCAGTCATACGAAAACGTGTTTTTTTGTGTGCTTGATAGTCATTAAAGATATGATTTATGTTTTTTTCAAGCGAATTTTTCTCGTAAACAAGCCGAGATTTCCCCCCTATCATTGTTGCTTACTTGTATTGATCCATTGCGCCATCTTTAAACTTTTTAGCAAATTTTCCCTCCATGCCAAGAGAACTAATGGCTGCCATCTTCTTGAATCCTGTCTTCATGATCTTTTCATGGAAAGTAAGAAAAGAAAACCAGACAAAATAAATTTAAGTGTAGCAAAAAAGGAGAAAATTTCTTCTTTCCCGTCGTCATCGTTGATCACGTGCCTTTCTCGTGATCGTAAACTTTGATCTTCGACACTGAAGTTGAAGATTATGCTACTCAGCTAGTGCTTTGAAATAAAGAAAATCTTAAAAATGAAATATCTGTAAATAACGAAAGCAAAGAAAAGAAAGTAAGGAAAGTACTTCACACGGGTATCATGTAGAGAGAACTAGCTAAAAAATAGTGTGAGCTACGTCGGTGTTTTTAATGAAACAGTAATGATAAAAGGGTAAATTTTACACCGTGAAAAGATGAAAAAACTTACTATTGATGGTTTTCAGTCATTCCCAAGAAAATTAAATRACAAAAGACACGGCGGCCATGTTTGAGGAAATAACAAAAGAATTCATTGACAATTCTTTTGTTAAGTTCCTCCAGCATGGCCGCCGTGAAAACCATCAATAAAGGTATAAAGGTATAAAGTGCTAGCTTGAAGGTGCGCCCTTTTCCCCCTCAGACTATCAGTGCTCCTTACCACACGCTAACCACCTGGGCTACGCCTGCTCCTGTTAAATAAAATGAAAGAATAGGAAAAGAARCCAGGACTTTTATCCCACTTACATCCATTTCCTTTGGTTTCACACTTTCGTCTGTCTGTTTTTGTTGGATTCGATGAGACAAGGCGATGATTGGATACCCAGCCAGGGCGACTAACGTCATCTTCCATCCCGTGGAGAACGCCACGTAGAATGTTAAGACTGAGGATATGAAGGCCTGGACCTCTGGACCTATGTATTTACCTATAGACTGTGAAAAAATGGAGTAATGGGAATGAATGAATGAAAGGTGATATATGGATGGATCAATTGCAATGACTGATGAATGGACAAATGAAAAAATGAATATATGGATGGATGAATGAATAAATGGGTGGACTGGCAAAGTTTTCTTTCCCGTTTCTCAGCAAGTCCGTCTGAAAAATCCTTTTCATTTCCATTTACGTCAACGTGGCATTGTTATAATTTTCGTACATTGGGTTGCCTGTGTTATATTTACCTTCTGAATCGCCGCATCGACGTCACGTTGCATATTTTCCACGGCTTCACGCGCTTGTTTCTCAGGGTCTACCGCTGGCTACAATGAACGAAAAATCAATAAGTACTACTTTAAAGCCTAAGGTCATAACACGTGGATTGAAATGGAAAAGCAGCCGTAAATAAGGAAGGAGAGGTAGGGATAGGACAGGAACTAAGGGTTCTTACCAGAAGATTATCGCCTGGTATCTTAGACATATCTGCCATGTTCTGTACATCATTTGGATTAGGAACACCAGCTGACTGAGTCAGTGAAGACGGGTCAGTGGGGTCTTTAGRCAAACCAGTTTTTCCTGTTGATATTTGATAACCACCTTTTCCAGAAGCTCCTGATCCCTTTGGAAAACCTGTTTTTCCTGTTTTTAAGGGTAGACCTGTCAAACCGGTTTTTGTTGCTGTGTCTTTTGCGGATGTCATACCACTCGAGTCATCTAAAAATTCTGGATTTTCAACCACTTCCCCAACATCATCCGGGTCATTTTCTAATGGTGCACTGTCTAAATCGGGGATAACGTCTGCCTCCCCCGGAATATCATCCTCCGTGACATCATATGGTTCTTCCTCAGGGGGAGTTCCGGGGGGAGTAGCTTTACAATCTGATCTAAAGGGAGGTGGGACAACTTCAGTGTGATGGTCAAAACCTTTCAACTCTAAATCATCTGTTGGCATGGCATCGTCCAAAGGAGAAGAACCTTACGAAGGAAGAGAATGAGACCTACGTTAAAAAAGCTTTGGGGAGAAATAGGAAGGATGGAGACCATAACATTTACTTGCTGAAAGTTACTGCTGACATATTTGACAAGAGTCGCATTTACACAGGATCGGTTAGCCTTGATTTATAGTAAATTATTCACAGATGCCAAGGAAAGCTATACTGACTTTGAAGAATTGGAAACGCGTAAAGTTTCTTTGTACTGGGGCTGACCCTCAGTATATAGATGCGTTCTTTATGAAGGAATACAGCAGTGGTCAAACATTGAAGCTAAAATATTACCAATATATACTAATGATTAATTTGTGGCCAAATTGAAGAGGGAACATAARAATGAGCTATCTCAAAAAAGGTTGGTGTTGGTATTGTTGCATGTTGCTTTTCAAGATTGAAGTATATTGTGACCTTTCGCGGACTGGATTCACATCGCCCATAGCGCACTTCAGGCATCGTATGCAACATGGAACTAAAGCCTTAACAAACCTTTTTTGAAATAGCTGCATATATTTTACTCAATCATTTTCATGTTAACCTACCAGGAAATGAAGGGATTTGAGGTACTGTTGGTGGGACTTGAGGGACGGAATTCTGCAACAATGATAACAAAGAACATATTAGGAAGGAGGGAAGGAAGGAAGGAAGGAAGGAAGGA